CTCCTGGCATTGGCCTTGCCCAGTTCTGGCTGTTGTAACTCCTATTGTGAGTGAAACAGGTGATAGAATCTCCCTTGTTCTCTCCCTCTCTCTTTTATTAACAGAAAGAGAAAGTACATACATTTTGAAAAAAGTATTTTAAAGAAAATACATTTTGGCAAAAAATGTTTTCTTTCTAAATAACCTGTTCGACAGTCTTATCACAAAGAGACTAAGATGGACATAGATCAAAATACTTTTTTTATTTAAAGACTGTATGTATTAATTTGAGAGGCAGAGTTACAGACAGAATGAAAGACAGAAAGTTCCTCCATCCACTGGTTCACTTTCCAGATGGCTTAGCCAGAGCTAAGCCAATCAGAAGCCAGGAGATTCCTCTGGGTCTCCCACGTGGGTACAGAGAACCAAGCACTTGGGCCACCTTCTGCTGCCTTCCCAGGCCATAAGCTGGATTGGAAAAGGAGCATCTGGGATACAAACTGGTACCAATATGGGATGCCAGCACCACAGCCAGAGGCTTAGCCCACCATGCCAGTGTCACCCCCTAAAAGCCTTTTTTAATTAATGAAAGATACTACATAAATATGAAAAGCTTCAGAAGTCCAGGAACAATATAGAAAGTAATCTAACATTTAAAATGCAGAATTAAAAAGAAAAGTTCACTTTGGTTAAAAAAAATTTAATCTACAAATACACACTTTCCATAACCTTTATGAATCATGTTTTATAGTATGCATTTATGCATTTTCAATGAACTTATAGACCAGTTTTATGCATGGGTTACTAACATTTTTGCACTAAAATAAACTTCTTTTTTCTTTCAACTTTCCAGAATCTTTGTGAAGTCCCTCATAACTGCAATAAATTTCAGTAGGAAGAGAATAAATGAAAAACAAAATATGTATTTTGAAATGGTGAAAAGCTTCTCAAATTTTATTAAAAAAACATCAATTTATAGATTTGAAATGTTCAGTGACCCCTTAATCAACAGATAGAAAGCTACTAAAGGCAAATAAAATGAAGGATTCCAAATACAAAGAACAGACCTTGAATGTTGTGAAAGAAACAACAGCCTACTGGGTCAGCTATGTATGAATGATAGCTGACTTCTCCTCAGAAATTAGTGAAAGAAATCTTCACTACACTGAAAAAAATATCCTTCCATCTTTGATCCTATATGTAGTGTTAATTGCTGTAAAATATGAGATGAACAAGGGCAGGTATTTTCGCTCATTGGGTTAAGCTGCTTCTTTGGATGCTCACATCTCATATCAAAGTTCCTAACCTTGCTTGTGATTTAACTTCATAATAATGCACACCAGGTAAGTGCCAGATGATGGCTCTAGTAGCTGGGTCACAGATATCCACATGAGTGATCTGGATTGAGTTCCAGCCTCCTGGCTTTAGCCTCGACCCTGTTCCAGCCATTGCAGGTATTTGAGGGAGTGAAACAGCAGATAGAGCTCTTAATTTTTTATCAAGTAAATAAAAATAAATAAAGCATTAATCCATGAAGTATACAAAAGACATTTTCTGAACAGGAAAATGAGAATATAATATAAAAGAAGCAGTCCATTTTCAAATAAAATGATACAAAATGAATACTTGGATTAGTAGGAGTTAGGAACATAGGAGCATTTTTTACTGCCAAAGGCCATTTGGATATTACAACATTATGTGCTGTCCATACAAAATTATCAACTTAAAATTAGCTTGTTATTAGCTCCTTGAATTAATAATACCACCTGTGGTTGTCTTGGCAGGGTCAAACCAAATGATTTTTTGGGTCTTATATGGCTAAAGAAATACTCAGGGACTTTTCATCATAATAAACAGATAATACATCAGGCTGATCATATCATTATAAATGCTAATGTGCCTAAAAACAAAACCTCAAATAATATGAAACAAAGTCCACAAAACTAAAAAAGAAACTTAAGAAAAATCCTCAAAAGTAATGTTAGAAAATTGATTTACATTTTATAGTAATTGATGAAACTAATAAAACATCAACCATAAACATGAATGACAGTATTGACCAAAATAATATTTATAAATCACTGTCCAACATTCACAACAACAGAATAAATGATGAGTTACAAATCAAAAATATATCATGGTGAGATCCAAGATGGCTGAATCGGGTATAGCCATAATGACTTAAGCTGCTCTGAGATATGAACAGAACAAAGGAAATACTATTTTCCAGAGAAGTGACTGACCGAAATGTTAGACAAAGAAGTAAAAAAAAAAAAGTCAGTCACCCACTGACTTCCTACCTCAATCTGAGAGCTGATGGGGTCTGAGCAACTGATGAGCTTGGAGCAAGGAAGCCTCCTTGCTTCCTTCCCCTCCCTGATTCCTGCAGAGCATGACACTGAGCAGAGAAGATACACAGTGAGCCTCTGCTCTGCTCCTACCAGCACTGTAGAGTCAGGGCAATGTGTAAGGCAAAAGACAGATCCCTGCATCCGGCATCTGTGGGAGTTTGGGGGCAGAGCTACACTCACATACTCTACCTGAGCCAGAGAAAATCACCTTAGCTTCTGGGGGCTACCACCAGAAGCAGGCCATAAAAATGTTTGTTCCCACCCCAGGAGATCTGGGTAATGATCCACTATACCTGAAAGACCAGGACTGTAACAATTTATTGTAAATTTCTGAGTGCCACTGAAATCTACCCAGTGGACATAGGGAAGAACCTGCTTGCATTCCTGCTCTCTGGACCCATACTCTGCAGAGTAAAACCTGTACACCTAGTCCTAGGACTAGGGTTGTTGTTATTACACAACAAAGTACCAGTTGGACTCTCTTACCAAGAACTGAGGAAGGGACAATCCATATCGCACAGTCCTAAAGCCACAGAAATCAGTGCCACAAATCCCAGTATCACTCAGGCTTGCCAGTAAGTCAAGGACCAGCCATCCTCATCTTCCTCAGCACCAAGAACAAGCCCTTGGCTATCACAATCATCAGGGAGACTAACACAGAATCTGTGGACCAAAGATGCACACCCAAAGAAACACTTATTCATCTCAAAGGCACATTTCCATCCCTAGGAACTGCAGCTGACTAGACCATTGTGTTACTAACAGACACAGCTGACAGCCACTAAAATAAAAGGACTCACTCAGACACTACAATCCTGGGTTCACCTAGAACCAAAGCCAAGGCAACAAGATTTGCACAAGAGAAATGAAAATAAAAACCATAATGAGGTTTCACTTCACCCCAGTAAGAATGGCTTTCACCCAAAAGTGCCCCTCCAAATAAATATTAGCAAGAATGTAGGCAAAATGTACCCTAATACACTTAGGTGGGAATGTGAACTAACACAATCATTATGGAAGACATTTTGGAGATTCTTCAGAAATCCAAAAATGGATATAACATATGACATAGTCATCCCACTCCTGGGAATTTACCCAAAGGAAATAAAATCAGCATATGAAAGAATTACCTGTGCCCCCAACTTTATATAGCAGCTCAATTCATAATAGCTAAGATAGGGAATCAACCCAGATGTCCATAAACTGATGACTAGATAAAGCAAATGTGGTATGTGTGTGTGTGTGTATGTGTGTACACACACACATATATAAAATGGAATACTACTCAGCCATAAAAAAGAATGAAATCCTTCTTCTGCAACAAAATGGATGCAATTGAAGACAATTATGCCTACTGAAACAGGTCAACCCTAAAAAGACAAAAATATTTTCTCTGATTTTTGGTAGCCTATACAGCAGAAAAAAATGTATGAGTGAAACTGACATCTTGAGATCTGATTATCATCTGTATCCCTTTTCTATATTCCTCAGGAACAGTGACGTTTCTACTATCTACTTGTTGAATTCTTTATTTAGTGGAGGGCTGAGCTTGTGATTATAAAGTAACTTGAAAATGTGCTATCACACAAATTAAAAGAAAAATAAGAAAGGGAAAAGGAGAAAGGGAAGGGAGAGAGAGTGAAAAGTATCGTCATGCTCTTAAAACCATATATAGGAAATACATGAAATCTGTTCTACTTATATAAATAAATAAAATTTTAAAAAGATATTCTAATTCTAGTTAACAGTGCTTGTTTTTATTCCCAGCTCTTGCTTTTGAGTCCAATTTTATGCTACCGCATGTGCTGGGAGGCAGTGGTGATAATCCAAGTAATTAGGCTTCTACCACTCATGTCAGGGAAAAGGAGTACATTCCTGGCTCTTGGATTCATTCTTGGTTACTATGGATATTTAAGAGAGTAAGTTAGTGGATAAGAGGTTCTTTGATTTCTCCTAATCTACCTGTCTCTCTTTCTAATTCTCAAATATGTAAATATATTTTAAATGTAAAAGATTCAAGCAAGGAAAAAGCCAGACAATATACTTAATGACATTGATAAATGTTTGACTAATTGAATTGAGGGTACTTTGAGTAGCTTAAAGTATGAATGAAGAATGGAATGATTTGCTGGAAGACAGAGCTTTGGGAAGTTTGCAGCACAACCAGCATGTATAGTCTGGCAGGAAGAAATGTATGTAGAGCTGTTTAAGAACCTGAAGAGATTCTGCTCTCCACACAACCCCAGTCCAATCCATAAATCTGGTACAGTCTCCCAAGGGTATTTTCACAATTCCTAAAACACTTTATTAACTGATTTATTACCAGTTAGCAACTCTTACCAGTGCAGAATGTTGTATGTTTATTTTTAAATTGGAACTAAACCACTTCCACTTTAGCATCATATGACCAATAAATACTATTCCAGACATCATTTTCCACTAGAATTTAGCAAATTCTAATTTCTGATTTGAACTATGTAACAGATATGTCTTTGAGGCATCAGAAAGACTGTAGACAAATTTACAATCAGCTCTGATGGCTCTAATACCTTATAACTATGACAATACTACCTTGTTTATCACTTTTATGTTTCCATTTTAATTTAAAAATGCTCATAAAGCTCCTATCATACAATGTAAAACAAGTTGAGAAATAAGTAAACAACTTACTGGTGTTGTATTCATTTTCTTTGGCCCCTGAAACATGTAGTGGTATCTACAATTACACCTGGAAAAGAAAGTGAATACAGGGAGTTGTGAGAGAACTGGTCTCGCTTGCACTTAGACTCTACAATGTAGGGAAGATCATGATAGAAATGAATGCAGAATTATAGATATATTAGCTGGAGAAACAGAAACAATCTCTGTGGTGATTTAGCAATTTACACTTGATAAGGGGAAGGGAAGATCCTGAAAGAGCACCCAAAATTTTACTAACTGGCAGTGATTAAATCTAGTTATCCTTAGGTTAATGGAATCATTTTGTTGCTACTTATTTTTAAAAAGCAAGTGATAGGGCCGGTACTGTAGCACAGTGGGTTAATGCCCTGGCCTGAAGCACCAGCTTCCCATATGGGCAATGATTCTAGTACCAGCTGCTCCTCTTCTGATCCTGCTGTCTGCTATGGCTTGGGATAGCAGTAGAAGATGGCCCAAGTCCTTGGGCCTCTGCACCCACATGGAAGACCCAGAAGAAGCTCCTAGCTCCTGGCTTTGGATCAGTGCAGCTCCAGCCATTGCAGCCATCTGGAGAGTGAACCAGCAGATAGAAGACCTCTCTCTCTGTCTCTACCTCTCTCTGTAACTCTGTCTTTTTAATAAATAAAATATATCTTTAAATAAAAAAGCTAATGTTATGACTGAGAAGAAATTTATTATTTTCAGGATGACTGTTTAAACAAATTTCAGTATATCATAGAAATAAACATCATTTTGTCACTAAAACCATACTACAGAAAAAAAATACTTGAGTGGTACTAACTACTTTGGTATTACTACAGATGTACTGAACAGGAGTCCATCCATATACTGAAAATCCTATAGAATTTACTCATTTAGCAACCTGTGTATTTTTACCCACAACTGTACAGTAAAAATGGATATAATACATACTTATTGTACTATACTTTCCTAGTAATTATCCCAAATAACACACCTCCCAACACACAAGCCTTCAAATAATCTTCATCACAATGATCCTTGGCATTACAATTTTTCTTGCTTTACACATCTGGACATCAGTAAATATGACACCTACACACTTTGAAAAGTACTTGATTATTGGAGTTTACCTTATTAAACATTTATATTATGAAGAAGTCTGGGACTTGCCTATTGGAGACACAGGGTTTGGGCAAGAGCCAGAGCAAACCACCAAACTTGAGAGGGTTGTATATGGTGATGCAGGTTAGAATATTGCTTGGGACACACATCCCATAAGCAAATTTGTGGTTTTCATCCTGGTTATTCCATACTTAAAATAAAACACCCTGTTGTTGTACCTGGGAGGTAGTGGATGATGGATAAGTACTTGAGTTCCTGTAACCCTCAAAAGAGATGCAGGTAAGATTATTTCCTTCTGGCTTCAGCCTGGCATAGCCCTGGCTGTTAGGATAATTAGAGAGTGAATCAAGCAGTAGATGGAACAGTCTCTCTTTCTCCCTCATCCTTTGTCCCTCCCTCTTCCACCCCTTCTCTGATGCTCAGCCTTTAAAAAAATAATTACAAAGAAAATTATAACATAAATTTTTGTTGATTTGTTATATATCAAATGCTGATATACTCTTGGTAAGGAAGAATTTAATTGCATGCCATATACAATCAAGAGACCTTCACATAGACCTGTTCGTGAGCATGAGTCATGCCAACTCTGTCAGCTAGGCTGCTGCCACACAAAATGCCTGGATATCATAAGAATGTATTGAGGGGCTGGTGCTGTGACACAGTGGTTTAACATCCTGGCCTGAAGTGCCGGCATCCCATATGAGTGCCAGTTTGAAACCTGGCTGCTCCATTTCCAGTCCAGCTCTTTGCTGTGCCTTGGGAAAGCAGTGGAGGGTGATCCAAGTGCTTGAGCCCCTGGGCCTGGGAGACCCAGAAGAAGGCGGATCAGCACAGCTCCAGCTATTGCGGCCAATGGGGGAGTGAACCATAGGATGGAAGACCTCTCTCTCTGTCTGTCTTTGCCTCTCCTCTGACTTTCAAATGAATAACTAAATCTTTTTTAAAAAAGAATATATTGAAATATTTTATACTCTAGTTGGGCACTGTATTGCATTTTATTTATATTTTACAAAGTGATTATCAGCAGTAGTCTGATTTGCTCACATTTTAAATAATTGGAAATGGGCCGGTGCTGTGGCTCAATAGGCTAATCCTCCACCTGTGGTGCCAGCACACCGGGCTCTAGTCCCAGTTGGGGTGCTGTATTCTGTCCCAGTTGCTCCTCTTCCAGTACAGCTCTCTGCCGTGGCCCAGGAGGAAAATGGAGGATGGCCCAAGTGCTTGGGCCCTGCACCCACATGGGAGACCAGGAGAAGCACTTGGATCCTGGCTTCAGATCAGTGTGGTGCACCAGCCGTAGCACACCAGCTGTAGCGGCCATTGAGGGGTGAACCAATGGGAAAAGGAAGACCTTTCTCTCTGTCTCTCTCACTGTCTACTCTGCCTATCAAAAAAAAAAATCTAAAAAAAAATAATAATTGGAAATGGACCAACACTAAATCTCTGCAACATTTATGATTGTCAAAAAATGGGTAACTGATATTAAAAGAGAAAAACTTGCATTATAAACATATTTGATTCACACAATCCATAGACAGTATGGGGAGGGGAAGTATGGTCATATAAAGATACTTAGTCTTTTCTACTAAAATAATTAGTGTTCCATCCTTGGGTCATATTCCAGAGTTGAGAAAACTATTCTAGTGCATATTTTGAAACAAAAAGTGTCCACAAATACAAAGGTTTCAATCTCCATTAGTTACATAACTAAGAGCTTCTGAAATCCATCTGTCCATCTAAATATCTAACAAATCACTTACTGTTCTAAGAAATGGATCTGAACTTTTCCCTCTACTCGTTGGTTTATGTTACAAACTAGGCAAAGAGGCCAACAGAGGGTTTCATGGAGCTCTCATATGAAGATGGCTAGAATTGAGATGGGCTTGAGAGGAGTAGGACAGGGTATTGACTCTTGACCCACAGCCTATCCCTGGCTTTCTTTGTGCCTCACCTATGGTTTGCCCTGTTGAAATTCCCAAGCCTTCTCTGATCCTGCCATTGCCCTTTAGTGACTATTGTGCAAAATTGAATTTATAGCCTAGGAACTATCATCTCAGGACAAAGAAGAAATTACATGCTTAAAAAAATGGGTCTCTATGACACATTCCTTGAAATAAAAAAAATGAACTTTCAGGGATCAAAGAACTAGTTTAGCAACACAACATACTGGTTTCTCATACCCATTCCCAGGAATTGTTCCCTTGGTCATCACACACCTCTTTCAATGGGAGCTGTTCCTACTGGGGTCAGATATTTGGATTCAATGAGGAGTCCTGATATGAATAAAAGTGGGAAGAACATACTCACAAATAGATGGCTAACCTTAAGCAACTTCTTTATCTGTTTCTTAAGTATAGATATCATATGATGATTGCAGTTCATGTTTTTGAGCACCAAGTCATGACAGCAATTCTAGTAAGTAATTTGTACTGGATGAATGGGAATAAATAGTCCCTGTAGTATAAAGGGAGAGATGAATAGAAAGGAGATTGGGTAATTAAGATTCCATCACTAGGATTATGAAATGAGGTTAATCTTTTTCTTTTTTAAAGATTTATTTGAAAGGGAAATAAGGAGAGAGGCAGGAGAGACTGACAAAGAGATAGATGGATCTTCGTTCTTGTGGCTCACTCCCCAAGTGTCTGCAACAGCCAGGATGGGGCCAGGAGTCAGGACCAGGCCATTCTATCTGGGTCTCCTATATGGCTGGTAGGGATCCAAGTTCTTGGGCCATGTTCCACTGCTTTCCCAAACACACTCACAGGAATGTGGATCAGAAGCAGAGTAGCCAGGACTCCAAATGGCATGCCAATATAGGATGCCAGCATTGCAAGCACTGTCCTAACCTACTGCACCACAATGTCAGTCCCAAATGTTAGTCTTCTCAGATTCATCTCTGGTAAATTATATAGTCACATGCCTCTGATGTCTGACCATGGTTTGTTTCATGTTAATTCATTTCTTAATTTTATTCTCAGAAAAGATATACAGAAAAGATTAATGTCATCTTTTAACCAATATCCCTTGGTCCTGAATCAATCACTGTTCCTTATCTAGTTAATATGCTGTCATCCCTTGGTCTTACATTTATATTCATATTTATATGTAAATATGCAATGTAACCTACAGAGGAAAGTCGACATTTTATGTGCATTGGAGTTTGAGACACTAAAATATACATTACATGAAAAGTTTGAAATAATACAATATATTCTAAGTTATATAATTTTCTTAAATAGCATAATTGGATATAAATGCAAATTCCCATGAGATTCATCTGTTAATAGTACCTATACAATTCACTGTTTTCATTCAGTTGTAACCATCACCATTGACAATTTTATAATTTTTTTATCTCCTTAAAGTGTTGAGGTTGAGTTTAGTGGTTAATAAACTGCTTGGGTCAGCACATCCCAGACAGCCTGGGTTTGAGTCCCAGCTCCATCCTGATTCAGCTCCAGCTTCTTGCTAATGCTCACCCTAGGTCTGTATCACCCAGAAGGTAGAGGCTCAAGTAGTTGGGACACCTAGCTACATTGTTGACCAAAATTGAGTGCCTAGCTCCCAATTTATAACTGTTTAAAAAATAATTTATTTGAAATTCAGAGAGAGTGACAGAGATTTTTCCATCTGGTGGTTTATGCCCCCATCTCTCCAAATACCTACAACAGCCAAAGTTGGGCCAAGGCAAAATTAGAGCTGAGGAATTCCATGCAGGTCTCATCTCCCATACTGGTGTGGGCCAACATGTGTTGCCTTCCCAGGCCTAATAGTCAGAAGCTGGATTAGGAGCAAAGTGGCTGGGATCTGAACTGACCCTCTGAAAAGGGAAGTGAGCATCCCAATTAATACTTAATTCTCAGTGTTATCATGCCTATCTTACCAGCTTCCAATTTTAACTTAGCTCAGTCTTATTTGTTTTGAACGGAGAATGACCCAGCAGGTGGAAACTTTCTTTCATTGTTATTTGTCCTTGCTTATAAAATAAAAAATAAATAAAAAGAAGGCTGTCTCTTTAATATCCCTAATACTTTCAACCCAAAGTCACTGCAAATGTACTGTTTCTATGGATGTGCCTACAGTGGACATTGCATGTTGTGGGGATGAGATCCAAGCATCCTAATGCCCAATACAGAGTCTCCATTATTCAAGTGTGGTCTGAGCCCTTCCTCTCAGCTACACTCACCCAGCACATAGTTCTGGCAGTAGGCAACTGAAGACAGGAAAAAAAAATGAGGATGTCATCCCAAGCTGGCAGCTAGCAGGAGAGAGGGCCATGTGTTCTTCAGTTGCACTTAGGAGTGGAGTTTCCATTTCACTGAGTTGTGATAGGGAAGGTAGGAAACAGGTCTGGATCCATAAGCACTGAGTCTCTCTGCTCTTAACAAATCTGTCTTCAGTAAATATTTCTTTACTTGCAAGTGTCTTTGGAAGCATTTCTAGGGAAGGTACGAGAATTTTCCTTTTTTTTTAAACAAAATTTGTCAGGGCTGGCATTGTGGTAAAGCCACCATTTGAACTACTTGGCATCTGCATTAGAAAACCAGTTCCAGTCCTAGCTACTATGAATCTGATCTGGTTTCCTGATAATGCACCTGGAATGACAACAATGATTGTCCAAATGCTTTAGCCCCTGTCACATATGGGAAACCAAAAGGAATTTGGGGCTACTGGCTTTGGCCTTGCTATGTCTGGATCCTTGGGCCATTGATGGAGTAAACTCTCCCACCCTTTGTCACTCTGCTTTCAATGAATCAGTAATATATCTTTTTAAAAACATTTTTTATAATCCTACTAAATGAAGCAGACATATACGCACACTGTCATGCCAAATTCTTTCTAGAAACATACAATCTTAATGCTTACTTTTTTTAACATTTATTGAATGAATATAAATTTCCAAAGTACAGATATTGATTACATGGCTTCCCCCCCATAACGTCCCTCCAACCCACAACACTCCCCTTTCCCACTCCCTCTCCCCTTCCATTCACATCAAGATTCATTTCGATTCTCTTTATATACAGATCAGTTTAGCATACATCAAGTAAAGATTTCAACAGTTTGCTCCCACACAGAAACATAAAGTGAAAAATACTGTTGAGTACTAGTTATAGCATTAAATCTCATGTACAGCACACTAAGGACAAAGATCCTACATGAGGAGTAAGTGCACAGTGACTCCTGTTGTTGACGTAACAAATTGACACTCTTGTTGATGGCATCAGTAATCACCCTATGCTCTTGTCATGAGCTGCAAGGCTATGGAAGCCCCCTGAGTTCATTGACTCTGATCATATGTAGACAAGGCCATGGTCAAAGTGGAAGTTCTCTCCTCCCTTCAGAGAAAGGTACCTCCTTCTTTGATGACCCTTCTTTCCACTGGGATCTCACTCA